AGGGTTCTGGGCAGGATTCATGTTTTTTCTCGTGGTTCTGCTGGTGGTCATGTCTTTAAAGATGGTGCCTGACTGTCAGGTGGTTATTGAAGTTGTATGTGGAGATGAAAACACTGCAGGTGCTGCTGACTGTCTGTCTGTCAGTTCATCTTACAGTGTTGTTCCAAAAAAGTCGACTGATTCACACGTGAGTCATGGCAGATAATCTCGCAGACAGAGACCAAATTACAGGCTCCCTCACACAGTCACAGACATGAACACAGAGCTAATACAGCTGCGCACACACACAGTCATCTTCCTTGTTACACACTGCTAGTAAATCTGCCTCTCTCCTTTACTGTTATCCACCCAGGGTTTACGTAAGCCCACACTGGAGGAGGTCGATCACAGCCGTCAGGCCATCATCACACCCTCCCTCTTCGGCAGTTCTCTGGAGGAGGTGATGGAGAGGCAAAGTGAGCTTTTCCCAGACAGGAAATTGCCGTGGGTGCAGGTTCAGCTTTCCCAGTACGTCCTGGCTCTGGGCGGCGCTCAGACTGAAGGAATTTTCAGGTAATGCACTGACAACAGTATGTCCCAACATGATCGGCGTGAGAACCGACAATCTCAAGAAATAAAAACAGGCTGTGTGTACTAATTATTGAATTTCACTGGTGTATCGTTGATATTATAGGTGAATAAATCAAAAAATGAAACAGCTTTACCTGGCATGCCTTAGGCTGTAGAAAAGATTGATGTTGATGTATTTTATCCATTTAATTTTTTAAATGACAAATTGTCTTTTATTAGTAATGCCATTACAGCAACAACAACATCTGGTTTTAAACATAAAAAAGTGGTAAAATAAACAAATGGAAAGGCTGACAGAGACCAGGAGCAGATTACCACAACTTTAATCCAAGTTCTGTCAGACAAGCTGGTAAAAGACCAAAAGGTTCAGTCTCAGAATTTTACAAAAAAAAGAATTACATGTTAAAACAACAATACACATCAGTCTAGGTATTGGTTGGAGTATCGGATCCCTAATTATCACCACCTCTACACCTAGTAAAGGTGTTTTAAGACACAGTGAAACAGCCGAGGAGCCTGTCAACTACATCATATGTCTGTCTGTCCCACAGGCAGACCTGTGGGTGTAATGGGATTCTTTATATTTTACTGAGGCCTGGTCACCTCTTATATGTGACATGGAGGATTTTTCATGGAGTCTGTTCTACATAAAGTTCAAATTCAGCTGAAAAAGCATTGTTAACCTAAAACTAAAAAAAAAAAAACAGCAAAAGTAATGATTGCTTTGAATAACGTCAAATATTACTTCAAATCCAGGGCACAAAAAGCTCTGGTAAGATTAAAAAAAAAAACCCAGGCATCATCCAACAGATAAAACAGATCCAAGCTCAACAGATGGTGGACCTTGGACATGTCCTTTGTGTGTAAACACGGGTGTGTGGTCCAGTGCAGCCCATAATTTTAAGATCTGTCTGTGTACAATACATAGTAGAGATGGTTGTACAAACACAACCCTGCCCCCCCCCCCCCTCCGTGATTGGCTTTAATTTGGTTTTTCATAATACATGTTTTGTGTAGAAGATTACCAGAATGTTCCCTCAGGTAGTGTTTGTCCAAGGCTGTTCTGCAGCAAATTGGATTGGATTGTGTGTTCAGGCCTGACTGGAGTGTTGAAGTATGTGTAACCTCATATCATTTCAGGTGTGGTTTTGTTTTGATAGTCAAAAAAGAGAGAACACAGCAGTGCACGCCTCCAGAAGCTGTTTGGGTTCATTCGGCTCAGAACTCGGTGGAATTAGAAGGCTCTCTGGTGGTCATCGAGTGTAAATGAATTGTGTTGTTGTTGTTTTTTATCCTCAGGGTCCCAGGAGACATAGATGAAGTGAATGCTCTGAAGCTTCAAGTGGACCAGTGGAGGATCCCGGAGAACCTCTCAGAACCCAACGTTCCTGGTGGGTAGAGGACCTTTGAACTGTGTGTCTGTGTGCGATGGTTTTGAAAGTACTAAATACATTGATGTGTATTTTTGTACTTCAGCCTCTCTGATGAAGCTGTGGTACCGAGAGCTGGAGGAACCACTCATCCCCATGAACTTCTATAAACAATGCATCAACAACTGTGATGATCCAGTGGCTGCCATTGCTGTGGTGCAGTCTCTGCCTGAGCTCAACAGGCTGGTGCTGTGTTACTTCATACACTTCCTGCAGGTAACCGCCCTGCTGACACGCTGTTAGAGAACACATCGACACAGAATCACGTGATGTGCTCATGCTCAACATCTTGCTCCGAGGCTTTGACTTCAAAGTAGCAGAAGTAGAGTAGTATGGAAGCACTGGCTAAAATGAAACATGTCCACACTGATCACAGAATAGTCTGTCAAAAATCTGTCAGCAACTTAATCGTTTTCTCCTATTGTTTATTAACTGGAATGGGAACAGGTCATGTCATGTTAACCAAGCCTACCCGCGGCTACACCCACTGTGCACCTGAGCCACACTGACTGGCTTTTCCTTTTGTCTCCAGGTCTTTGCTCAGCCATCCAACGTGGCCATAACCAAGATGGACGTAAACAATCTAGCCATGGTGATGGCCCCAAACTGCCTCCGGTGTCAGTCGGACGATCCCCGTGTAATCTTTGAGAACACTCGCAAGGAAATGTCCTTCCTAAGGATGCTCATCGTTCACCTGGACACCAGTTTCATCGAAGGGGTGGTGTGATTACCCAGACCTCAGTCCTTCAAGCATCTTCAGCACTGCTCTTACAACGGATTGTGATCAACACTGGCCCTGTTCAGATTACACTGGAATCTCAGATCAGTCGTTCCCCTTCTTAGAACACTGGGAGTGCGAAAGAGCCTAAACTTAGCACCACTGCGACACCAACACACCTCCCTTTGTTTTGCTTTATGTTTTGGACAGTATCAGAGTCTTATTGATATCAGCAGTGTGAGCATGTGTTTGTGTGTGAGTGTGTTTGTAGGAGTTTGTCTTGGTATGTAAAAAAAGAAGACATTTTTCAGATTATCATGTACAGAAGTTGAAATGTTGAAAAATATGAGTAGTCCTTTAACAGTCACGTATTAATAAGCTCGTCTTCCCTGTTTTAATGTGCGTGCACTGAGAGCTGCACTGCTACTACGTTTTAGAACAAGAGCAGAGTCTTTACTGCAAATAAGTTGTATGGATACCTGGAAAAAATAAATATGTTTGATACAGTCAAGTCATAGATTCTCACACCACTTTTTTGTTCAAGTCAAGATTAAAAGAAGAAAGAATTATGTTTTAAGGCAACTAAAGTATATGCTCCTTCTGAGAAGAGCCATTCATCCTGGTTGGAGATTGCCCTAAAGCCCCACAAATTAACTCCTTAAACCAGGGGTCACCAACTATCTATAAGGGCCAGAATGTTTCTGGGGGCTGCACACTTAAATATATTTTTTTTAAAAATCACATTCTGGTCTTTCATTATTATTTGATGTTTATTTTAGAATCCAGTCCCTGGCCAGATTGGACAGTTCATCAGGCCATATTTGGCCCGCGGGCTGCATGTTGAGGGTCAGTACCTTAAACCCTCGAATCACAGTTGATCAAGTCCTTACTTTCTGCTGATATGACAAAGACGGTTTACACTGTAGTTAAACACAACTACTTTGGCTTTGCAAATGGGTGAAATAGTTTTTTTAATTGGATATATTATAGAGGAAGAAAGAATATCTTTGATCACAGATGTTTTCCCCCATCTTCGACGATTACTTACCATAAAAATATAAAGACACTTAGATCAGGATAATGTAAATATTTGTTGTATTATAAAAAAATTCAAGGTGGTCTAACGCTTGTCCACAGTACTGTGTACATCGTGACCCTGATCAGTTTGCAGACAGATGTGTCAAAGGACGTTTGTTTCTGTTGTGTTGTTTTGCTCAGGACAGTTGATAAAACTGGTTTCAGATGTCAAATCTGATAATGGCCTCTGTAATAGAATCAACATTTGCAAAGTGGAGTGCTATTTGTTATTGATGAAGCTCGTTGTTTCTCCTCTCAGGCTTTCCTAGTGTCAGTGGAGTTCAGTGTGTTGGCTGTATTAACTCTCTGTATGTAAGTGTATGCTTGTGATCCAGGTCATCAAAAAAAAAGGAATTTGTAATTTACCATGTATGTCTCTGCATACCAGTCTGCCGTCAGATCGCAGGACTGCTGAAGACCTTTTTGTCATGTATGTATACAAGTGTGAGCAAACTTTATTGTGAAGCTGTCCAGAAGTAAAGGATTGTTTATTTGAAAGCATTTTTCTTGTATGTTTGTTCGGCTAGTACTACTTCATAGAGCATCTTTACCTCCTCCTTTATGGCATACTTTGAGCGATATGTCAGTTACAAATTATTGAGTTAGAAGTGATCTTTCATTATAAAGGACAAGAATGGAAACCATTGCAAATTTTATGTTTAGTGATTTTTGACCAAGTTTATTACTGGATCAGAAATGCAGCCTCAGATTATCATCTGAAGAGGAAGAGATATCAAATGTGAGGCCTTTTCCCTGTGCCTGTCTGTATGTCCTTCCAGGGTTTATGGTGTTTAGGTCATTAAATCAGGCCATTGTAAATCTCTGTCTCTGAGCAGTTCCTGACTCTTTGTATCTAACCAGGGGTCTTTAGTTGAAGATCTCCACTAACCCAGTTCTGATGTACAGTACAAAAGGAACTTTTTTACATTTAGGAATGACAGCAGACTCACTGGGAACAAAGTAGACTTCAATCATTTTTATTCACTTACCTCACTGTAGTCAGTGGATCTCAGTAACAAAATTAACATCTCTATAAATGAATAGTTAAACAGGTGAAACTATCGCGCCCCTCTGTGGTTATTTTGTGGTAGCTGCCGGAAATTACTTTTTGCAGGATGGGATATCCGCGGTTTTTTCACTGAGGGTTGAAAGAGTTGAAAGTGTTTGAAAAGCACCCACAGAGAACCATGTTTTATTACAGCGTCTCTTTATTGTGGACTGTTTCAGCATCCAGAAGCCTTACTCCGTTTAATACAGAATGTACATTTCCCAAGACAGTACAAACAGCACCACACAATGGATTACTTGGTGAACTGCATCATCGGCTCTTCCTTTTCCTCTGAAGTAAAGACTTCACGTCAGTGTAGTCTGGAGGAAAGGTTGCTGAGTCATAGTTGATAAATGTGATATTGAAAATGTTGAGTCTTACTGACAACATGGAGAACTCTTTCTGACCATGAGAAAATCTGCAGTTTTTTCAAACACCATCTGGACAATGGAGAAGAATGAGGACACTTATAATAAACATTATAACTGAGAGATGTGAGGAGTAATAAAAATTCCATCTTCCGTGAGCCATTGTGTGTTTTATAAGCATAAGGTGTGCAACAACAATTTGACATTTTTCCAGTTTCACTATTATACATATATAAAAACAACAACATGCAGAATGTGGTAAACACGTAACATTCGACTCGTGGAGGAGCATCAGTGGTCATTGACATGGGTCAGTTATAAAGAGACATCTCTACATAGTCTCCATATACTTGACTGGCTTGTCTGGGTCTACAACCGTCTCCTTTTGAAAACCTCAGACAACAATGGACCACATACTGCTGAGCTGATAAAATATAATACAAAGCAATACTGAACAAAAGACCTTGCAGAATTGCGAACATTAGTATTACCACGTTTGTACAAGAAAATATTTCTTTTGACATCAAATTTGTAAACACGAGGGTAGCGTTCGGTTCTTTGCGCATGCGCAAGTCAGTGCCTTACTGCGCGCCGGTGCTGAAAGCGAACAGAAATTCAACTGCGTGATAGCGGAGGAGACAAGCTGGGGACATCGTGAGTTGAGCTTCAACGGCAATGCAACACGTCACTCACCGGCAGCCGAGACAAAGGCAGGATCGAATCAGGCGAAGACCGTAGATTCTTATGTATTCCCCCGCATTTCTCTGTCGTTTGTCCGCGGGAACACTTTGAACCAGGGCCCGCGTTGCTGGATGCAGCGGCGGAGACGGGACCGCATGTCGGCTTCTCCAGTTCAAAACAATCGTGACGAAGTAGGTATTAAGATGTTATATGTTTATTTCATCAGACCTATCTGTGCCTCGAGTGGTTCGTGTGTCCCTGGCTGTAGTCTGTAACATGGGTGGCTGCTGCTGTCTTTTTATAAACGGCTGCGCTGTGTGTCAGTTCAGGAAGTTTGAAGCATTTCCATCCACGCCGCCACTAAAGTCTGCCAAAGTAGGCCCAACGCGAGGCCGCGATGTGTTGTTTAACTGACAGCATCTTCGACCAATCGAGTGCCGGAATACCGCCTACTGCACTTTTCTTCGATGGATCTGATTTGTTGATCATTCTGTCGCACTAGGCAACTGTGGTTTTGGACCACGCCCTCTGGTTATAAAACACCGGACAATGAGGAGTGTGGCGGTAGAAGTGGACAAAAAAAAAAACTGACAAAGAAAGAAGAAAACACGTGTTCTCACGGTGGTTGTGATGACCACGGCTACGTTTTTCTTCTATTCAAGCCTCTTTAGCTAAACACCCAATGATTATAATTTAACGCACGACGATTTTTATGGAGATATGTAGAATAGAGCCTTGTCATGCTTCGTATTTATCTGCAAAACATGCGGTCTAATTGGATCATTATACGGGCTATCGTAGTGTCTCTTGGTTGAATGGGCAGAGCAGCAAACACGTGGGCTGAAGCAGCCTGTAGTAGGCAGCACAGAAAGCCCGTGTAGCTCAACAAAAAGACAAGTAACGATTACTATAAACATACTGTTACGGTAGAGGATATGTGAGAAATGAAAAAAATCTGTATTGTCTTCATATACCACAGGTGTAGCCCCTCACTCAAATGTGTAAACAGTGTGAGGAAGATGTGCTTGTAATTGGAATTCACAGCTAAGTGTTGCTATTTAGGTCATTGTACAGATTACAACCATCTGAAAAATGGACTTTTTGATGATTTAGGTTAGGTTCAGTAGAAACGGTTGAATCTTTTTCCTAGAGAAAAAAGTGAGACATAGTCAATGTCACTGTATATTTTATTTTCTCTTAAATATAAGAGCATTTATCTTTATCTGGCTTTGTCTGTACACAAGCAGTAACTGGATGCCATTGACATTTTTTTTGTTCAATGCACCTTGTGAGAAAAAAGGCATAGTTTACCCATTTGTGTCATTTTTTTTTTTATTGTACCTCCCTGAGGAAGACAAAGATGACAGCTAGAACACCAGGTTGGCTTTACTCACGGTTTCACTCGTAACCCCCGCTGAAATAGATGTACGTATGTAATTATTGATTATTGGTCCACATGTGTGTGCTTTGTGTTTTTGCTGAGTGCAGGAAAACAGCCTTGATGTGAGCAGCATGAGTAAGGTGCCCCCTAACAGAAGAGGGATAACATTTGAGGTGGGAGCGCAACTTGAGGCCAGAGATAGCCTCAAAAACTGGTGAGTCATGGCCTTTGTTTTTTTTCTGTCCATCCGGTAAATGCTCCACTCTTCGCATGTTTAGTCAGATTAAAGTTAATTATCATCTGGTTGTTTTGTGAATTCACTCCATTTGAGCATGTGTTAATTTTTTCATCAGATAAAGGGGTTGTTTCTTTTTTCTAAACCCAAGATCCAACTAGTTTTTTCACCACATTTACAAGTATTAAGTCTTTGTAAACAAGCAATTGGGATTAGGGTTGTTTTAAAATAACAAATAAAGAAAAGATTTCAACTGGGATTATTTACAGAAACACTGTAAAATACTGTTTGTGTCTGTGGGAGATGTTCTTCCCACGTTCTGTTTGAACACCTGAATGTCACACAGGTTACTTACGTGATGTTTTGGTTGCAACCGTATTTCAGCGCATACCACCACCTACTCTACGAAAGTGTGTAGTTCCATGGTATGACCACTGACTTTTTGAGAAATGCATCCGACTCTTTAGAGTCATGATTCATTTTTTTTATTTCAATCAATGCAAATTGTCGCACATTTGTATCAATATTTAATTGATTCACGATGCATCGTTACATCCCTAACAGTAGACTAACACAGAAACATCCCTCCCTCTGCAACTCAATTCATAGCTGAACATATTGTATTTTTGAACAGCCATGTTAAATTGGTGAGTTGTGACTCACTTAACGAACAGCTGATTAAATTCATTTTAACGTCATTTTTAGAAAAAAGTTGCAACCAAGTCATGTACATGTCATTTGTTGTGAAGTTGAGTTTTTTTCCTTATTTCTACCAAACCCTGTTCATTAGTGTACGTATGTGTAGATCTTTGGTCTCAATCATAACTGACGAAAATAGGAAAAGCATCAGGGGTGGGAGACATTTTATGCATCCTTATTGTCTCTTGAACGATTACAGAATTGTGTAGAAAAATTTCACCGTATTTTATTCACAACTAAAACTCTGACGTCAAAAACTGGCTCGGTTGAACTGATCATGTGGTAAGATTTCACTGCGTAATGTCCGATCCTTAACCAATTCAGTAATGACTGACAATCTTCCCCAGTGTTGGATCAATTAAGTTTAATCTAATGGAATGTAATCATAGGTTTAATCAAAGAGCGCCCCCTGAGGTTCAGCAAACATGACTGAACCAGAGCCACAGCTCAATAATAATATCAGTCAGCTGGCACCACCAGAGTTAGGAGCTGACGTGTTGTAAAGTGAGGATGGGAGATTGACAAGAGACACCATCAGTACTTCATTGTCACACACAGGCAGAAAAACAGACGACTCCTGTTGCTTCAGAACAGCCAACGACAAAACCTGCCATGACAGAGCTTCAACACAACTCCTGTGATGTTTACCAGCAGAGATCTGTGGGGTGTTTTGGATGATAAAAAGTGCCCGTTCCCTGCTAAACAAATTGCAGTTCTATGCATCATCGATGTTGGATGTGCTGCATCCTTTCTCCTTAGCTTATTGTCTCAAGCTGTTTTATCTAAAAACAGTTAATTTCATAATAGAAACATATAGCTTTTGAACTAACTTAGTTCAGATTAGATTGAACTGTATTGATCCCACACTGAGGAGATTGTTGTACTGCAGGGATGAAGGGACAGAGGTAAAAAGCTATTTTTAATGGAATCTAGTGCCATAATGGATGAATACAATTGTTGAAATAAAAAATAGGGATGGCTAATAATCTGGTTATTTAATAATCTATTTTGAAGATTTTTTTATGTAATGTATTTATTGTTTTAGTAGTGTTTAATAGTAATTTATAATCAGTTATCCTAATCACTGGTCTCAAAGTCATAGTCAAATCATAAAGTACCCAAAGATTCCCACCCGTAGAAATAATGAGATGGTCTAAATCAAGCGATATTGACCAATGGTCTGGTAGAAGCCTGGTTGTAGGTGATGACTAATATCTCTGTGTCTTACTATGTTTGACAGTGGCGTGGCTTTGTCCCTTTCCCACAGACACTCAGTGGTCAGTGGTTAGCTGACAAAAGCTTTTAGTCTCTGCTCAAGTAGCTCAGTGCAGTGGTATTAAAACAGAAGAGTCATTGACACAAACACTGATTTGAGTTTAATTAATTAATAAGACGTATTCTAAAAGTCTCCTGCTTGTGTCATAATGCTGGGTGTCGAAATGTTTTGTCCTGCAGGTATGCTGCCAATATAGAAAAGATTGACTATGAAGATGAAAAAGTACTAATCCATTACCGCCAGTGGAGTCACCGTTATGATGAGTGGTTTGACTGGACGAGCCCTTACCTGAGACCAGTAGACAAAATCCAGCTAAGGCGTCAGGGCCTGCAGGGTGACAGTTGTGTACCTGTAA